CCTCGCGAAGAATGGCACGATTGTCTCCTCCTTTGAACTACTCGACCAGGGGGGTGCCACGGTGCACGGCGACGACTCTAGTGTAGTATGGATGCTTTGTAGAGTGGAGGAGTATGAGGGTAATGAACAGGTCGAATCGGGGGGCGATTACGCCGCGGGTTCAACAGCGAAGATGCGCCGCGTCTGTCTACCCTTGGGTGGAAAGCGCTACTAGGGGCAAGCGCGGAAGAAGTACCTAGCCTACCGTTGATGGGAGGCACCGGACAACCTAGGGCTTGGGTTGGAAGGTCTCATTTCCCTCTAGAGGAATATCTTGAAAACCTCCTTTTCGTGCCCCGTTTACCACGCTCCCGCCAGTTGCTGTCTATAATCCCCATCAAATGTCCCCTCGATTCGAGGGGACATTTGATGGGGATTATAGACAAGAGACGGCTCAAGTGGGAAGGCAGCTTTGCACTTGCACCCATTGTATGTATGTATGTATGTATGTATGTATGTATGTATGTATGTATGTATGTATGCATTGCGAAGTCTCACGCGTGTGCGGGTGCGTGGAAGCAGCGTACCTGGCACAGCATGGCAGCTTGACTATTAGTGCAAGGTACTAAGTCGTACCGCGTGGCCCATTTACCCCGCCCTGCCTACAGTACCTATATTGCATACCGGAGGGTTTTATCCCGGCATCTTTCTTGTGGTTGACATTGTAGAGAACCAACTGCCCGTGAGGTTGTTTAAAACTCAAACTTGCACACTCGACTGATACACATCAAATGGACGGAGAGGCACGGAGGCCACCTCTGCACGCACACTAGTCTAGTTCGAACGTTACCCCGCCCGATATGACCCACGCCCCAATCCATGTTTTGTATTTTCGGCCTTACAAGTTTATTGAATTCCGGTCATGATTAATTCCGGCGTTTCGATTCGGATAGGTAACCGCCTGAAGTCATTGTTTTCATCACGGTTTAAGAATCAGTTTGCATATGCCACACACTCTTTTCTTCAGTTTGCAAGTTTTTCGGATACGTAACCGCGTGGGTTGGGAAAATAATATGGCAAGAGCGCAGCGCTGAAATTCAAGTTTAACCCCTTTAGGGCTAGATCGCCTTTTGGGGACACTTTTTGTTTGCATCTTCTTCACCTGCTTTACCTCGCGAAGAATGGCACGATTGTCTCCTCCTTTGAACTACTCGACCAGGGGGGTGCCACGGTGCACGGCGACGACTCTAGTGTAGTATGGATGCTTTGTAGAGTGGAGGAGTATGAGGGTAATGAACAGGTCGAATCGGGGGGCGATTACGCCGCGGGTTCAACAGCGAAGATGCGCCGCGTCTGTCTACCCTTGGGTGGAAAGCGCTACTAGGGGCAAGCGCGGAAGAAGTACCTAGCCTACCGTTGATGGGAGGCACCGGACAACCTAGGGCTTGGGTTGGAAGGTCTCATTTCCCTCTAGAGGAATATCTTGAAAACCTCCTTTTCGTGCCCCGTTTACCACGCTCCCGCCAGTTGCTGTCTATAATCCCCATCAAATGTCCCCTCGATTCGAGGGGACATTTGATGGGGATTATAGACAAGAGACGGCTCAAGTGGGAAGGCAGCTTTGCACTTGCACCCAGGGATGGACCATCCAATCAGCAGGCGTCGTTCGCTCTTTTTTTTACAATTCAGAAATCTCGCACGGACGCCGAATTTTCTGTGCGTGGCAACGGGGTTAAGGGAGCACGGGGGATCGCAGTTTTCCTCTGACAAATACAGCTAATTTCGACGAAAAATATGCTTACGGTTTCCAAAAGAGAACTAACGGGACTGTGAAATGTGGTCCAACGAAAGTGGCGGAAACAGGCCGAATCGCACAAAATTACAGCGTGATTACAGCTAGCTGCGCTGCTGAGGGCCCGTGGCGCCGTCTGCTCCAGCGTCGTGATGGCGGACCCACAAGGTAAGGAGTCGACCATGGTACCCAGGTAGACCCTTCCTGAAGTTTTGGTGCCATGTGGGTGGCTGTGAGTAGAGTTCGCAACACACGATTTTGGCATGCCGACCACGCTGGCTGCACCCGTTTTAGGCCTTACCATAGAGGCTACATTTCGGGCTTGCCACTTAGCAGGCAGCATATACACCAGGTTAGTGTTTGGTGCCCACGGCGAGCCTATGCTGGGTGGAGGAATCGCCCGCTATGATGTTGGCAATGACGTTCAACATCGAGTTGAGACCAAAATGTCGATTTTTTGTAAAAAAAAGGGTCCGCGGGAAGGCAAAGGCCAGATACGCATGAAGTTCCACGAACGGCGAGTGCAGGCTGCCGATCAATGCGAGTTTTTGCCACAGCATATAACTGCTGTANGGTTACCAGTGGGCGGTCGTCGTGCTCTGACGACTACAAGGCACTGCTGTGTAGGCGAGATGCACATTACCATGTACTCGTCACGTGCCTTGATAGTATGCTGTTGACAACTCCTTTGCGACTACCATTGTATTGTCGAGCATGATGCTGAAGGTGTTGGCTCATGCCACCTGAGTATCCGTCATGCGTCGCCGCGACGCTGTCTATGTCCGTTGCTCATGTTGGCGCGGTCATTTATTCTCTTGTTTCTGCTTCACGCAGGGTGGCGTGAGTTCGGAGCGACGCGATGCACGCGATGGTGTCCACTCCAACATGGGGGTACTTCTTGAACTTGTTCGAGTTGTCAAGACTCCTTGATCTACCAGCGGATGATCTTCGCGCCGTGCTGCAGCCTCCATGTGCCCGAAAGTCTACGAGCATGAACTGCTGTTCCTCTCGACGTTCGGCATTTGCCGGGTGTGCCATGACGGGAAGCCCGCCTGGCATTTGCTTGGATGTGGGCGTTGTCAACAATTGACGTAGGAGGGTGAGTGACATTGTCCTTGTGTGTGGTGTTCGCAACGTGTCGTGTTTGCATGTCCTGGGTGCCATCGAATCGCTTTGTTTTTATGTCATCGGTGTCTTACGATGATTTTATTGGAACTGCCAAGCGGGGTGGTGGCGATTTCGGGGGAGGCGCGGGAAAAGTGCAGAGGGAAACCACCGGAGGGTTCGATGTTTGGCGAACTCATTTGTCCCTTGTTCTTTATGCACCTTTGCACGTGTCGTCATGGGGGGGGGGTGGTGCCGTGAAAAATGTATCCCGATAGACGCTCGACTTAATTGTATTTGCTCTCGGAACTGTTCGGAGGGGGGTGCAAGGAAACGTCCGCACAAGCGGGGGAACAGGAACACAGACCGCCTTTTGCGTGTGTTCCACACGAGTCTATGTGTGCATTATTTTTTTTCTTTACGCATGGGTCTACGTGCACATTTTTTGCATGGTTTACGGAAGAAATGGCCAGCACTCACCGCAACCCTCGGACGCTGGTGACAGGTCGAGCTAAGTTTTTGTTTGCGGGGGAGCGGAGACGACAACATAAGAGTGCTTGAAAAAAAAAACATATACACTCGCAGCTGTCGAGCTTGGCCTGCGACGAAGCCAGCATCCGAGGAAGGGACAGCCGGGTCTTTGTGTGGCTGATATGGGCAGCCGTGTTTCCTTAGGATACATCTAAGAGGAAAAGCATCGAATGTCGCGGGGCCTACGCATGGCTTGTCTTCCACATTTGCGACGGTGACGGGCAGCGGATATATTTTTTTCGGCTTCACGCCGCAACTAGAAGTCGCATATCGCAGGGGCACTTCCGCAGCGTTTCTCGCCAATTTTTTTGTGTCCCTCTTGCTCGTTGCCAAGTGTCCCTGTATGGAATGATAAACAAAACAAGCTGAGCTAGACAAAAAGAACGTCGAGCGCGGATCCTCTACTCCCCCTCTGCCCACACATGTACGCCGAGTAGTCTCCCAAGTACAACCCTGGCACTTGCTAGAGAGCAGTAATTTTCCAGCGGAAGTTTCGCAATGTACGCCGGGACAACCTGATAACAACGACAATAAAACATCTCTGTCGACTTCGACCAGGCGTCGCGTTCGAACAGACACGTAGATGCGAGCCTACTAGTACCTCAGCAACGCTAGAACGACATCACGAGGAATGCCCTCCATACCCTTGCCAAAAAACATGCCCATAGCGCGCGCAAAACAATCCCCGCGCCGGCATTGGTTCCCTTGCCCACTTGCCCCAATCTCTTGCGCCGCCAAGTATTGTAGGATTCTCCGCACCGTGCGCGCAAGCACGTACGACACATTATCGCCTTGGCTGTCCCTCTCCTTCTGACGGTCGAGCACATGCTGCGAGGGGGCGGGGAGGGAGGGGTGGGGGGGGGGCAGGAAATATGGTGAGTATCAACCAAAACAAGTAACCGTTACCCCTGGGGTAGGTGGCAGGATAAATTGGCACCGCCTAATCAATCTAATTACGGTACAAACCGTCGTTTCATGGTGTACACTTGACGTGAATCAACGATATCATCGGGTGCACAAGATATCACCCCCCATGATACTAATTTCCAAAGGAACGTTTGCGATGCAGAAAACGTCGGAGTTGTAACGCTCTTGTGGACCACTTCCCGTTAACGTGTCGTTGGGGCTACACACCTCTTCGGGACCCAGTGCGGTAGTGAAGCCCTCAAATTTGGTGCGGTGTGTGTGTGCCACACATTGGTGCAGGGGATGTGATATCTTGCGTCACCAAAGGTGCGTCTTGTTGGGATTTTTTCTGTGATTTTGAAGACTTGCTTTGGTCTTGGGCATGTACGTTCGGGCCAAGCATTTAAGTCACTCCTAACTCTGCATCCATGTAGCTGCTGCGTGCAACAGGACTTTCCGCGTTTCGTTCGTCTTTGAGCTTCAATATAGACTGCTGCTGTAGGATAGGATAGAGCCAGTATGTATTGAGAGAAACGAATCATTGCTTGTGGGTTACAGCAGTGCTGTACATACTAGTTGCTGCAATCCACGTTTCGGCTCCGCGGGAGGCTGCCCACCGTCTGAGAGAAGAACTTTGATGAAAGAAGCAAGCCACTACACACACCTGGATAGACACCCCAGCGATGATATGGGCCTGCTGGCGCCCACAGGTCGTGATCCTATCGGGGTCGCTTTTGTCCCATCCCGGCTGGGGTGTCTCGCACCCGCACCCTTTCGCGGCCGTCACCGCTTGCTCCTCCAGCAATGCCCGGACTCCACCCGAGTTTCCCACGGCTGTCTGCAGCAGCGCCTTCGACAGAGGCGTCTGCTTGACAGCACGCGGGGGCTCGTCTGCCAGGAGGGTGGCCAGCTCCTCATCGAACTCGTCGTCTTGCGAACCATTGCCATCGAGGCTAGGTGTTGATGCCGCAGCAGCAGCTGCTCCTTGTCCTTCCGCAGCATCGGCGACATCGGTGACACCCTCGGACACAACGAGCCAGGGATCGTTGTCTTCTTCACTCGTCTTAGCACGTTTGGCCGTGGGCGTGTCGATGTCAGACATGACTCTCGCGGGGTATGGCAGGCAATGTGTACCGAGCTGCTGTCTCTCGTTAGAGACAGGGGCACAGGTGGTGGTGCCGTGTGGATTTCAGGCTGAAAACGACGCGATTTTTGTCATTTTTTTTTTTTTTTGAAATCGAATAAAATCACGGGCATACAGTTGACGGAATCACGTGGAAGTTATGAACCGGCACATGCCGCCCATGAACACGCCTCACAGTCTCTCCACAGAACCAAAAAAAAAACTATCGAACCCCGTGCTCCATTAAAGTGAACACACAAGAAAAAGAAAATAGCTTGCGGACACGCCCCTCTGTCTGGCGAAAATAGAAAATACACAGCAGGTCATCATCTTGACACAGGCTGTGTAATGCTGACCTCGTAAGCGTGGAGAAAGCAGCTTATGCGGCTCGTGTAGTTTGTGCCTTGCTCTCCTGTCACGCCAAAGAAACACCGCTACAGCACAACAACAGGGGTTGGCTGCGAACCATGATCCAGCTGTAAGAGTTTACCTTGTAGTCGAGATGGGTTGCACCGCCGTCTCGGGCAGCAGTCTGGTGTGCCTTGCTCACCGTCCACGCAAAATAATCGGAGCCGTAGCCAACCCAGAGCGCGTTTTCGGAAAGCGACTACAGTAGCACGCTACAGCATTCTAGGAATGGTTTGTTTGATTGATGCGCAGATGCAGAGAGGCAACATACATTTTGCCGCAAGCGATTTACCTACTGCCGTGTGTACTACTGGGCAGCCCAAAACACCCCCACACGACAAAGTGCGCACCTGCACGCGCTCGATGGGTTGAAGAAGTGGAAGCGTATGACGTCCAGTCAGTGTACCAAAGCCCGTCCTCTGCTGGATATTTTTGTAGCACTTCGCACCCCGTGGTCCAGCAAAACGTCCGGCAATTAGGTGGGATGCGGGATAGATGATAGCAGAGAGCGCTGGGTGTGGAATAGAGTGTGTGGTGAGAATGGGTTTCAGTCTAGTTCGTGGGGCGTTATTGGTTATCATCTGAAACGGTCGACACAATTCTGAGTGTCTAGACGACTGGACCGACCAACCAATGTGATACTTGGTCTTCGGGTTCTGTTGATGACCCAATCAACCAATCCAATGCAGAGCGATGTGGCTCTACACTAACGGTTCTTGTGCTAGGTTCGAGGTTCTTGTCAGTGGGTTGCTCTATGTCTCGGACGGTTGTCGCCGAAGATGCTAGATCAAAGACTCAAAGACCGAGGATAATGGATGATGCTTTGAAGAGGAAACTTTGTCGTTGGTTCTGCTCGCTGCTGCACTCAACTCAAGTCGGTCAACACTGCTGCTGCTCGACCGTACTTCTGCACTCACTTGCTGGAACCAACCACCGCTTCGAACTCTGTCAACGTACTGGTAACCGGACACTCAAGCTCGCCTTCTGCTCCTTGCCCTGGTAGACTCTCTCTTCTGAATTCATGAGCGGCAGCGCTGCTGCTGCCGCTGCTCAACATCCTTCACGTACGTCCACAGAAATATGCCAATTCCGCCGCAAAGCGGGGACAGAACCCGAAAATCCCCTGAAACGAGCCTACTTCGTACCACATCCCCCCACACTGCTTTTTGACATGGTGGAAAATGTTTACTATGTCCAAAAAAAGTAATCCACAACGTCATCATTTCCTCCAAGAGAAATTGACCTGAAGTACTATTTTCCACACTGGAACTGGTATATTCTCGCTCGCGGCCGCTCTTACCTGGCGACAATTTTCCAACACATGTTTTATTTATTTTTGCCTTCCGACAATTGCAGATGTACCTCAGAAAACTTTCACTTAATGTCTCATACTCTACATGAATATTAAACCAATACGAAGTACAACAACATATGTAGGACTTATTTCTACTGTCATTTACATCGTAAAAGTATCTCCTCTTCAACTTACCAATGACAATCCTGATGGTATCCTATATGCGTTCGTAAGCTTGCTAAAATACTACTGCGTTGATGTCCGCTTGTAAAAGCTGAAATCCAACAAATGCTTTGATCCATGCTACATCTCCGTGTTGGAAAAGCCCTTTCATCTCCGTTCATGATAACATCTTACCCTATTCTACGCAAATCTGTCACATCTACTCTCAAACAAGACGTCAACTTCAAACGAAAACGCGTTCTACGATGCGTCTACACTCCATCCCCATATCATTGGCGTTGACTGGTCCGAGGTCGATCTTGTTCGCCTGTTTTCGGCGTCTTGACGCCCGCGCAATGCGAGCTTGTACCTCAGCACTCGCCGAGATATGGCCACCTGTGTAGCCACCGAAACGATCTGAAGAAGTCGTTCCTTGAAGACTCCTTTCAGAGCCATCGTTCCTCCGTCCCTTCCTCCCACGGCATGTGTCGCAAGTTCATCGATGAACTCGTAACCCTCCTCTCCAAGGCGGCCAAAGCTTTCCACGGCTAAGGTGGTAAGTTTAAAGCTGCGTTCGTCAAAGGACACGTGTCCCGGACGAGCGTAGTACACATATCCTTGTCAACAATGACATAACACCTAGTACTCAGAATGCCAATGGAATTCGATCTATCCTTAGCAGGGACCCGTTTTTGACCCCACGAGATCAAGCCTTCGTCAACCCTTCAGGCCCGAGAACCCCCACACAAGCCACCAGACACAGTTCCCAAGAGAAGTTTTCATCATACCACCTGCCGCCAAGAGACCCAATTTGCCCCGTGCCGCGCTGCCGTGTTTTGTAAACGGCACCCGGCACCAACCCTAAAAAAATCCCGGCCCGAAATCTTTACCTGACTTGCTAATATCCGATCACTTCGAATGCTACTAAACGAAAGTATTTTGTTCCTGGCAAGAACGACGCCGTACTCACCTCAAAGAAAGGCGGCAACGAACCCCTGTGACTCCCCTCAATCGGACATTTGACTGTTGAAATCGGCGCTACCCGACGGCGCATACCGACCCCAAAAGGACTCCCAACAACTAAATCAATCGCTTCACGTTGTTTTGTGACTCACACCCCAGCTTTATGAAGCTATGAAATCCACCCGAGACACCTACATCAACGATCCTTTTACTAATTTTCTCCCCGCACGCGTCGGATACCCGTGCACTCTCCAATGCAAGGCTGAACCTGAAGCTGAATTTTTGACATATACACAGCACATTGACAATTACAAACATAGACACAGCACTTGACAGGGACAAACATAGACACAGCACTTGACAAGGACAACAGCACTTTGACATAGACACATTTTCAGCTTCAGCTTCAGCTTCCTTGCGGAATATTGTAGGAGAGTAGACCTTTGGCGGTCTTAGAGGAACAAGAAAAGCCAACGAACCTTGCTGTATTGCCTACCCTGGGACGACTCCAAAGTTCACCGAAGAATGATCACCGTGAAAACCATATCATCGCGTTGAAAAAGAGCTTCAAAAGCTTCCTGCCCGAAATTGGTAGAACCACAACGAAACATTGACCCCCTATCCTAGGCGGAAAGCACCACAACCTTCCCTTCGAGGACGCAAACACTCCCAGACATTCGCACCCGTAATGACCAAGGCACCAACAAACCAACGAAAATTTTGAACCGGAACTCCTCGAGGCGGGACAACCCACCAATATTTTCAGTAAAAACGCAGTTTCTACCGAACACAGGCTATTTTTGAATGGCCTGTGCCTCTCCCTTCCATCCTCCCGAAAAAGGACGGCATCTAGCTACAAAGACACCAGAGCCAAACAGCAACAACCAACACACCAACATCGGAAAAAAAAAAAAATCATCGGCATCAGACGGCAACACCGAAGACAAAAAAATCCGGAACACACATCACGCAGAAACGGAAAAGAAAAAAAAAATTATTGCGATGTCGTTCGTCTCGTCCTCTCGTCTCGAAAATAATTCCGCGAGACTCCGAAGTTCTCTCCGCCTCCTCCCTGAAAAATCATCGACGGCCGTCTCGCTCTCCCCCCCACCACGAAAATCCTTCCACCACAGCGCTCCCCGACCACCACGGCGAAACCTCCACCATAGCGCACCTCGACCACCACGGCGAAACCTCGTCACAGCGCACCCCGACCACCACGGCGAAACCTCCACCACAGCGCTCCCCGACCACCACGGCGAAACCTCGTCCACAGCGCACCCCTCAGGTTCCGTTCCGCCGGACGCTCCCGGACCGCATGTGCACAAGAAAGCACCACGACCCAGGCGGACCATCCACCGCCGTACAATATTTCGTCGGCGACAACGACACGTTGAAACGCCGCTCGAGGTCGACGAAATTGACGTTGTACGGCAGGTCCTCCTCCCGCGCCCTCGAAACCTGATGTACCACTCCCAGCTGCCAGCCCTCCTGCTTCGTCCGCACGTAAACATGCGCTCCTTTCATCTCTGCTGACAGCAAGGCCGGCCCACGCTCCCACGTCGCCAGCAACGCGTACCCTGGAGGCACATAAAGGGAATCACGGGAGCGAGCTTGCGCGCGGTGCGCGGCAAGCTTATTATAGTCACGGTGCACTTTATTGTCGGCTCCTACTTGACGCACTGCACTGCCCACCCAATACTTGACGACAAAGTCACCATATTGCTGGATGTTTGCTTCAGATTCCCAAGTGGGTTGGCGGTGTCCGCGCCAACGCGTTTCGTATTGTACCGCGATGGAACCACCTGGACCTCTACTGATACGGTGACCGGTGATAGCGGTCGGCTGTGCACGCTGTACGTCAAGCTCGATTTCCACGTCATCCGCGGTGAGGTAGAAGGGAGGCGCCATGTCCGCAAATTTATGCAGAACGTACGAACAAATTTTCCAAGGTAAAAAGTCGGGGATTTCCTCGGGTTCGTCCGCCCGATGGCAACGCTTACACCGCAACACTGAGACACGGTTGGATTTGGCCTGTGTGTCGTGCGGTAAATCCAGATACAGCAACTTGGACCCAACTTCCATGTCGTTAAAGCGACAGGGCCCTACAGCAAGCACTTTAAACGGTCCTGTCCACAGGTTAGCGAGTTTCGCTTTAATCCTCTTGGCAGAAGCTGTTTGATCGTTATTCGCCGTACGGAGGGTGTGCTGTGGATCGTAGCACCACACCCACGCGCCCGCGTGGAAAATCGGCCGCTTCGTAATTAGGTTGTCTAGATCTTCGTTGCGTGCTCGGTGTTTTTCTTTCGTGAGCCTGTCTCTTTCAACCACAAGCTCGTAGGCTTTCGCTTGCCGGTCTTTCATGAGCTGGAGGTATTCTAGATCATCCCGTTTTTTCGACTGCATACCAGAAACCACCTTCTGTGACCCAAGAACCGTCATTGGTAAACGAGGATACCTGCCAATATGTACTTCCATGGGCGCAAGACCGGTAGCCTTGCTCACGTGATTGTTGTGGGCGTACACACACGGCAAGAGATGGTCGTCCCAATCGGTTTGTTGGGCGCTGATCACGTGAGACAACATCTGGCAGACCGTATGGTTCAATCTTTCGACGCACCCGTTGGATTGAGGGTGGAAGGAGCTGGTAAACCGTTTCTTGGCCCCAAGCAATCGGTACACATCACGCGCGACAGCCGCCGTAAACTCGCCACCTCTATCTGACAACAAATACACCGGACATCCCCAACGTGTACAATAATCGTCGGCTAGCTTTGAGGCACACCCTTGAGCGGTTTTCTCGTCGGCAGAGAGAGCGTAGGGTTCAGCATGCCTACTAAACAAGTCGACGACCAGCAACACGTATTTGTTTCCGCTTTTAGTTGTCGGCAGAGGGCCAAGAATATCAAACGCCACCATTTCCCCCGGCCGAGAGGGTAAGGGAAGCGAAATCAAGGGCCATCTAGGTCTTCGGCGAGCCGTTTTCGAGGCTTGGCACACGATGCAGTGTTTGATGAACCATCGCACGCTGTCACTCATGCCAATCCAAAAATAGTAACGCTCGAGGGAGGCCAACGTCACGTCCTCTCCTAGATGACAACCTTCTGTGTGCACCGCATTTAGCGCCCACGGCCGCAAAAGAAAAGGAACATACAATCGAACCGGTTCATCCCCCAAAAGTCTTTCGAATTTACCGCCGCTGTGTCGTTGGGCGCGAGATGTAGGCGCTTCGGACGGTTTCTTTATCAGCAGCACGTGGTGGGCGTCTTTGGCCCCTACCGGCGCGGAGCGAGGCAAAGTCACCAGTGTGCACTTGTCCGCCAACTTCTGAATCCGTTTAAGAGTGATGGTACCCTCATCCCCAATACAATCGCTCATATCGGGAAAACAGAAAGAGTCAGAATCACCCACGTACTTGATGACGTAAGACGCCAGGGGATCTCGCGCTTGCTCGGAGGCCCACTCGAGGGATCTTTTGCGTTGCACAGAGACTTTGTGATGAATTTGCAGTGAAAGAAGTGTTTTGGGATCAAATCGTGTTTTGCCGTGGAATGGAAGAGAGAGGATATGTACGGGTTTGAACAAGAGATGGAGAGCGTCAAGTGGAGATGGTAGTGTTTTGGAGAGTGAGTGTTTGGGACTTTTCTCGGTGATTTGGAAGAGTCGGTACGCGATTGATTATTTTCGGACGCATTGTTTTGGTGTTGGGATTTTGGATTTTGTCTTGGTTTTGATTGTGTTTTGGGATGAACTGGTATGAAAAGGATGACTTTGATATTTTGCCGGAGCATGACGATGCATACGAGCGGGGGGGCTGTTCGATATACTCGTAGCATAGCATGCGGGTGGTGTATTGCGTATACATATGCGGGTATTGCAGTGACGAACTACGGAGGAACAAGAAGTTTCTTTATGTTTTCCTTGGGAGTGTGGTAGATTGGTGGACATTCATGGAGATTCGTTTTGGGTGTTTGAGCGTTATGCGTGACTTGATGCCGTGATGGAATGACGAGCTCAAGCACGCCCCCGATGAATAGAACACGCATACAACACGTTTACAACACGTTTTCCAACGTCTGCACGACTTTACCTACCCCTACGGCCCGTCATGGCCGAGCTGCTCTACACTCCCATCACACACAAGTGAGCCACCCGAAGTCGATCAGTGCCTACTACTTAATCGCAGCAGAGAAAGGTCTGTCGTGGAGGTGCTCTGTGTACTGCCGAAACGAGTGATGTTGCAAAGATCTCGTCGAGAGCTTGCCTTGACCTAGCGGTCGCTGTCCTCAACCGCTTGGTTGTGAAGCAATCGAGCTACAGCATCATGGACGTCGGTCTAGGGGGGCGCCAGCTCCTCTCTAATGTTATTTCACCATGAAAGATTGCTGTACTCTGTAAACCGTGGCGCTTGGCCATTGTTTCCCTCTGTTCCACCGGACTATGTACATTGTCAGGTACGCCTTTCTGATAGAGGTAGATTTCTCTGGCATGTTTACAATGCAGTCGAGGAGCACACGTATAGCTACCTGGGGATACAACCTACAGACTAGTCTTGAGAAGACGTTCCTGGCGATATCTCCTCGCTGATGGTCTATGCGTGATGTGTGTACCTCTGGCGGTGGTACTTCTTCCATGCGTGTCTTATCCGCGAACGTCTGCACGGGAATAGAAGAAACAGGTAAACCGAAACGCTGCTCGCGCTTGAAATATGCTTCGTTGAAGGAGATTGCTTCAGCTCTACAAGGGGTTGCCCGGAGTGTGAGCAGCACATGGCAGTAGTGCTCATCACGCCCCCGGTAGCCTCGCAGATGGTGCTGGGGTGACAGTACAGTGGTAGCTCAACCGATGGATGGCGAAACAACAAGGCGATGAATGTTCTCAGAAATATCGCTGCGTGCACGTCATACGTTCCTTGCAGTGTTTCCTCGCAAGCTCCGACAAGCAGCCGACAGCAGCATATATGTAGACTATGCATAGGCCATGCCCTGTTGCCCTTCGCCCAATAATAAGGAAGTATGTGTCTCAAACACCGCCTGCATGATTCGTGCCGCTTATTTTGTTCCATGCGGTCGTTAGCGATTGGCCGTAAGGTGTTGAAATATTGAAGTACTTAATAAAAACTAACTCGGAAATACATAGTCTAATAATGTGCCGTTTTCGACAACGCTGTGGCGGCTGTGGTGTGGTCTGTGGTGGTGTGTCCTTTAAGTTCGTAGGGATTGCTTTTCTCATGTTGTGAGGCAAGGGTAAGCCTGCTTGTTTCCTACAATGGTCTCGTATCCACCGCGCAAGCTGGTCGACTAACATTGAAGTTCTCAGAGCGAACGAGGGGGGCAGGGCATGGAGACAACGATAAGTCCTCTCAGTGCTCTCTGAGTGTCAGCCAGGATCTTGGCTACGGGCGCTGGCGGCTGGCGGCTGGCAGCTAATCGGGGAACCGGAAAGAGTCGAATTGTTTTTTTTCGAGACGACTCGAACCTGAAATTTGTGCCTGTTCGGGATATCCGTGCTATTGCGCCGCATTTTCCACCGTCAGGGTGTCAGGGTCGGCGTGCAGGTTGCATCCATCTCAAAAGAGCTTAAAATACATGGTGGGCCTTTCTCGGACGAGAAGTGCCACTGCCCGGACGCATGCAGGGCACACTGCGCCGACGAATGCTGGAAAAAATGTGGTGGCATCAATGCGAAATTCAAAATCTCAGCCGATGATGTTCGCGAACTCCCACCCGCAAGTCATTCGTGGTGTCGTTGGGCAACGGCCGTCCAGCGGTAGATCACCTCAACACCCGAGCACCACAATAAGACACGGGGTAAAGGGGACAACAGAGGCTCTGTGCTGGTACCGTCTCCCGGCCACAGGAGGTTGGGTACCTTCAGCGCGGGCGGTAAGTGTCCACAATGTAGAAGACTGCTGTTTGCTACTTGAGGACTACCGTAACTTGTAGTCCGTCTGTATAAGCCGTGTCATTGTGAATGCCAATAACCTTCACAACACCGCAACAACACCGCAACAATTCCGCAAAAAAAAGTTTACGGCACTCCATTTCGCGTTCGGTATCTTACGCAGGGCCACACGGCTGTGACCGTTGGTACTGACATGATAATCTTCGGTGGTGTCGTCAACGGGGAGCGAGTAAATGAGGTGAGTGTGTCGATGGACCGAGATCCCGTCTCCGTTTCGCCGAAGCTCAATTCCCCACACTCACAATAGCTCTGTCATGTACATTGTCGACACACTGATGCAAAAGTCGGCCTACTTTGTCCAACTACGGCAACGGACCCTGAAACTTTGTATGGCAATGAACTTCTTCCATTTTGGCTTGCTGGATCATACACACGAGCCCGGGCACAAACGTCTACAGTCCTTTTTGCGACCACCTCCTCAGTTGACTCAAACCCCTTTCTCCTTCTCGGCGTATCCAACCCACGAATAAAACAAACGGCACACGCCATCGAAGCTAGCGAGCTTCGACTTTCGCACACGAGTTTGGCGCCGCCTAGACTCAAGCGAGCCACCAGGGAACGCACAAGGGAGAACTCCACCTCCTACCGCGATGGCCACCGTCCCGGCCCCCCGAGCTTATCACGTCGCCTGGGCATTCGGCGACGATGTCTACATTCACGGGGGCGAAGGACCCACATTATCGAGAACGGACACCAACGACCCTGACCTGGACGGTGTTTTTGGGAGTGTCGGGCGTGATCTCTTTGCCGCGGAGGATGGTGGGGCACCCCTGGATCCCGTCAGGGTCGTGAGGGGGGCCGGCGCAGGGAAGGGTGCAGCTGCGTCTGGTCACAGAGTTCGCAGGACGGGTCCTTCTTGTGGTGTGGAGAGACGGCCTTCTGTGTCGGTGCTGGAGGACCTTTGGAAGCTAGACTTCCGCACGCTACGGTGGGAAAGGGTGAGGGTTTGGGTCTCGCACAGCAGTTTTTTTTTCCAGATGGTGCAGGTAGGCTCCGGCGAAGGCAGAGGTCAAGACGGAACACAGAAAGCATTGACGCGTCTACAATGTCACCCAAAAACATGCGTTTGTTAGCGTCCTTTACCTGTTGGCCTCGTGGGGATCCCAGCGCGAGTTTCGGCAATACTCCGCCAATCTGAGGCCATCAAGGTTGAACCCTCGACGCCCAACTCCTTACAGCACACGTTTCAACTTTCTTCTCGTTCCTCCCGCACCACGTTCGATCGCATCGTCGCACTGCTGTGCATCGGTAGTTATCATCTCGACTTGCACCACTGGGGCGAAAGGGCCACACCGCTTCGGTCGTCCCTCTCCGAGATCGGCCGTGCGTCCTGATCTTCGGGGGTGCTCCCGCAGGGCGGCGGGGCCTCAGCAACGCCCTCTACTCCGTAGATCTTGCCATGCTCTCAGCCGGCGAGGGAACCTGGGAGCGCCACAAACCGTCCGGGGCGGCGCCCGCTCCGCGACACGGGCATAGCTTGACAGCTGTGGCTGGGGGTAAACGACTGGTGCTTTTTGGAGGCAAGGCGGAGAACGGGAACTGCCTTGGCGATATACAGGTGATGATCGGAGGGTACGCCAGCGGGCTACGGTGGTTTTCTGCAACGGAAGATCTTGCATGGTAGTCTGTCTACGTGCAAGCACGTATGGGAAACGTACTCTGCTTACAGCATACCGCACTTCTGTGTCCCCCAAGAACACCCAGTCGTCACTCGCGGGGACACGATTGAGCTATTATCAATCCGCGTGTCAAGGCTACCTCCGTTTCACCATACCAATACTACACGTAAGCGCATCGCCAAATCACAAACCGACGTATTAGCACTTCCCCGTACTTTTCTCGACATGGTCTGCTAGATCCTAGAAGTAGGCGGCGGCGGCAGCCTCTCGTGGGCAGTCGTACAACCTCCCGTCGGAGACATTCCGGCCGCTCGTCACGGGCACTCGGCATGCGAGGTTCCCACCGCAGCGGGGGATGGGGCGAGGATCTCTCAGGGTGCGGGCGTTCTCGTCTTCGGCGGGGAGGAGACGGCAAACGAAGGGCCGGAAACCCGGTCTATCCACTCCCACAAGATGCTCCTGTACGATCCGAAGGTGACAGCTAGCAGATCGTATTGAATGGTTGTCCTACAAGGTATTGGTCTTTGCTCTCTTGTTGCATTAACTTTGTAAGTGTGTTGAATTGGCTCAGAGAATTCCATCTTGGTTTTCAAGGTGCGCGATGGATGGACCATGTTCTGAGCCTCATCCCCGTGGCCGCACACGACCAAACATGGTTCCTATGTAGAGCACCCGCTGATGTATGGCCGTGCTACAAAATGACAGGAATCCCGATGGCAGGCCGTCGAAACGGGCCACGCCTTCCCTATCGGTCGGCACGATCACTCGATGTCATCGATCGCGGGGTGGACACCACCGTCGTTCCACCCAGATGGCACGCTCACAGCGTCCGAGCTAGCTCTGCCGCCAACAACAACAGCAGGTTGCGAAGGAAACGCCACCGGTGTCACCTGGGCAGCAGCGGGGAAGGACCGGCGGGTCGGCGGCAGTAGTGGGACCTCCGCAGGCGGGCGGGAGCCAGGTACGAGGTCGACAGTGGCACCACCGGCCAGCAGCCTCCCGTCAGAGGCAGCCGTTTTCCAGTGGGGAGAGAAGGCGCCCACCTGTGCCGTCCTTTTCGGCGGGCTCAACTCCATGTTCGTGAGCCCGGAAGTGTGGATGCTGCCGTTGAGGTGGGGTGAGAGAACGGTCCCGTTTTTCTCCCCGAAATCGGAGCCGGAACCGAATCTCCGACGGGGGGATGGAGGTGCCTTTGGGTCGGGTGGCAACGCCGACGGCGGGAAAAGGGGACTTGGGATTTCGACATCCGGCAGGGTAAAGGGGGGAGTGGCGACGGCGGCTGCGACGGCGCAGAGTAGGGCTGCTGCTTCCGCGGACGGCGGACGCAGGGTACAGGAAGTAGGAGGAGCCACCATGAACAAGATTAGAACGGGAGATGGCTCATGGCGCTTGTTTCAGGCCGGCAGCACTGGTGTTGAGAACGTGAGAGTGAAGCATCGTAGGGCTAGCCTGCCAAGTGGCTTCGCTGGCCTTGTGCTCGACTCCAACCATTCCAACGGGGAGCGGCCGATTCACAAAACAGGGGTCGCTGAGCTTCCAGGGGTGGCGACGACCGAACCGGGGGGCGACAACGACGAGCACAACGGGATAGCGGAAGCAACGGCGGAGATCGAGGTGAGGAATGAGCGTAGTTGCCGTGTGCGGGTTCTTGCCGAACGGCGACAAGGGTCAAGAAATTTGAAGTTCCTCTCCGTTGCGAACAATAATTTAGTTGACCTCGTGGTAGGGTGCAGAAATCGCTGGGAGTGGCGCGCGTGAATTTCCTTGATGAGCAAAGCTTGGTATTCAAGCGCGATGCATGAGCAGTTGCCTCGTGACTGGGTGGTACACGAGATAAAGACCGGTTGCAAAAGTTGCCCCTCGTGTTGGTTCGTTTGGATATTACCCGACCTTACGTACACTTTGTTGACGAAGAGCGATACGTACACCCTGTTGACGAAACGTAACGATACATGGGACAGGCCGAGCTGCACCGTCTCAGGAAAATCGCCTATGTTTCGGAGAAGAAGCTGTCGGCGGAGGTGGCCACAAGGATGCATCTTGAAGAGACGTGAGTGACGCTGCCTGCAGATTACTACAGGGGAAGAGCCGGGGGGAAATCAGCTACGGTTGTCGTGTTCTCCGGCGGCATCTAAGGCCGATGCCGTTTGCAGTGATACGACTACATCACCTGACACGCGTTCTTGTAAACGTACCACAAAATTGCGATGAAGTACGTTCTGGGTTCGACGGTTCGGCAGATAAGCAGAACAATCGGAGGTGTAGCGCGTTGGCGCCGGGGAGTACGCAGAACCGACTCGAGCTTCTCGTTCCGCACGCTATGAATTGTGTTTAGTATCGATGTGTTGCAGTTTCAAATGCTTCCGGCCGCGAGGTGCTCACCCTCGCTATTTTCCCAACGGCCTTGTTGTTCTTCATGTCACAGGATCAAGGAGATGCAGGACGAGACGAATAAGCTACGCTTTTCCAAGGAATCGGCGGAGATTCAGCTGCGAGAGGAGTCAAGGTACGATAATATTAATGCCCCGCCTGTTCGTGCTTCCTTTGGACACACGTTTGATTTTTTTGAGAAGTTCCTAGCGAATTCACCACAGCCCTCGATGCCGTGCGTGTTCTCGAAGAGGGTCACTAACAAGCACCTGTTTCCGGGACTTCAAGGGGTTCATCAGCCAGGGGCAACTGAGGTCATGTATGTCTTCGAAAGTCTCCACGGGGCGACGCTTTCCACACTGATTCCGACAAAACACGGAGAGGAACCTCCCGCAGGATAGAGGAGCCAGATACTGCCATATGCGTACCCTCGACTTGACACCCAGCTCGTTTAGTTTGTGTGTCGCCTGCTGTCGACGCAGCATCAACGCCGGGCAGGCAGTCTCCTCTCCGTGCGTACATTGTGCAGCCCATAACTATTTTCAGGTGGAACGACTTTGGTGTGTCCCTCAACCCCCTGCTTGCGAGAAGTCAAAAAGTCCCTAGACGTTTTGTAGGCGCCATTGCGAAGGGGTCCACGCTGTATAATCCCCACAATCGACATGTCCCGTGTCGGTCTTTCGTGCAAACTGTGGTTCTACTTCCATCCTCCTCTTCGAAAAAGAGCGTGTTTGGTCACCTATAGCCTGGTGGAAATGTATCCCGTTGCTTGCCCCCCCCTTTGTGGTTGGGTATGTCCTTGCCGCCGACAGACGTCACTGGCATGAGGGCCAGAAGGCGAAGGCGCAATGCGCCAGCTTCGAACGGCTTTTGGCGGAGGCCTACGAGCTGATCAATATGATCGAGCTGCAACACGTGAGGCTCGCTTGATTAACCAAGTTTCGATCGATGCAGCATATTATCAGCTACACGGGTGGTGAATCGCTTGCAGCTGCGATGCCTTGAAGAGCTTACGATACGATGCAGCTCGCAAGGGTACGTCTTTCACAATGCGACCTGTTTGCAACAACTCAAGGGGTGAACCGAATCTTCAAACGAGTCGGGCACAAGCAAGAATACCCGATACACTCCTTTTTGGGTTGGACGTTTCTGTACACCGTAACGCAGCACCTTCAGGTGAAGTCTTTGATGCCCGCGCTCTACGGGGACCCGCGGCTGAACCGAGAGATCCAAGACTCGGGTGAGCAACGGGGGATCGACAAAAACTCCCTTCACGGACCGGGGCAATGGCCGCCGCAGCACCACCAACAGCCGCAGCACCCTCTCGAGAATGGTGACGGGAACCACCCAGGAAGGACCGCTGAAGGCAGCCGTAGCAGCGCGGGGGCGGCGAAGAATGAAGCGACGGAGGACGCAGCAGCTAGGCAGCTTGGGGAAGTCTCGGGCCGCGGCGGAGCGGAGGCTACCGTAGCGGTCAGAATAGCAGGGACCTTGGGTGGAGGGGGCCCCCTCGTAGCGGTCTAGAAGTCGATTTCGAGCCCGAAAACGACAAGCCCATTAGTGAGCTCTTTTGTGTGCGTCTTGTTGACAGACGTGACCCAGCAATATAGTGTAGACGCACGCCTAGCGTGTTTTTTCATAGAAAAGTGGATGACATTGGATAACCCCCCACCCGAGGGGTTGATACACACTGCACGGTTAGGGGTAGATGGATCGGAGAAGCCGACTTGCTACTCTTTTCTAACTTGTTTTCGAAAGAACGCGAGGGACCGAAGTGATGCCAGAAGAAGACCAGCGATGGACGTCCCTTGGTCCAGTGTCGTGGAGCAGCTTTCACGGAATTATCTGGTGTGCACGGACAAGAGACAGCCTAGGCTAGGTTATAGTGAGTCAAGGCACTACACTACCGCCGTACAAGAAACGAACGCTATTGGAACTCTTTTCGCTTGAGTTCAAATTACACCGCGGCTGCCAACTTGAAAAACTACAAACCTCCGAGCTTTGACCGACAGAGCCGATTATTAAAAGAGATCGAAATCGGTGTTTTGAGGCAATGTTATTCCCGCCAAAACCGATTGCGGTATGTACCATCCACCCAACACGAGGCATTTACCTCGGAGGGCGTAGACATTTCACAATCGTGTGAACCCGCCGCTTCAGGTTTTGACAGAGTGGGGCCAAAGCCGCAGCCTCAACCACGACGCCCGGTTCTTGTGCTTTGTCGAAGGCCGCGCTTCGAGATCTTTCTATTGTCACGTTGGCCGATAATACTTTCTTCCGGATTAGTTTCCATAGTTCGGGCAACGAGCGTGGTCTCCCCGCAGCAACGGAAAATCAGAACAACCTAGGCTTTCCGCCACGCGCCAGATTGGGCTTGGTAAAAGTCCGAAGTTGGTTGCGGAGAGAATGCACCTACGTGACGTGTTCTGCTTCAGCTACAAATACAAGAAGAGAAGCGGCATCGCGTCAGCGCAGCTTCTGTTGACCAGACTACCTCGTTTTCACTCCGTTCACGTTGTTCACAGACGCAACACGGTGTTATCGCCATCTCCGAAATCCACACTCTGCACAGAACCGCATCACACGGGAATCAAAATTGGTAGACATATATCCAACAACACCATTGTTTCGGCTGCTCAGCATCACTTGTTGAAATCATACCGTGGTATACAAATCCACAGTTCTGTTTCTTTTGTTTCATTCGGTGGGGCATTCGGCCGTCCATACCGTTCCAATGAGTGAAAACCTTTGTCACGACGATTCTCTGCTAATAGATTTCCAACCTCTATGAAATCTAAACGTCTCGACTGGTACCGAGTCTTGCAAGGCAACCACATTGTAACAATTTCATTCTGAGTTACTGGGTGCTATTCATTCTCCACCCACACTCACTCCAATACGAGTGTAACATTGGCAACGAGTGTTGCCACGTATGTGTGGCCGTGCCTATTTTCTGGGGTGCTGTCGTTCGCACTTTTCCTCTCCTGCCGGCTCCCCCTCCATTGTGCTTCCTTCTCTTGACTTCTTCGGCGGTAGTGCTTCGGCTGCCTCGCGCATCATATTCATAAAAATATCGAAGTCGGCCGTGGCTGTCATGATCTTCGCGAACACGGCCTCGTGGGACCACGGGTCCCTCTCGAGTGCCTCACGCAACCGCTCAAAAAAATCTCCAACGGTGAAGCCCTGTTCCTCGATAAATGCTGAGCCGTCACCAACCACGAGACGGCACACGTTCAGCACCGGACGAATAGTTCAAAACCGCTGAGTGCAGGTCCGCACCAGCACGGACATCCTTGGAATTGACTCACGCTAAAATGTCTTGTTGCATCATTGTGCACGGGAGGAGGTAGGGCTGATTCCAATCTCCGAGAAATCGCTGGAATTTCCTGTAAACTAGTATGACGGTGGGGTTGCCGTAAAGGCGAGTCAAACCAACTACAGGTTTTCTTGTACCCTTTTTTTACGGAGATATGCACTGGGTGTTTTCACAACATAACATTTCGTGCGAGAGCAACGCTCGAAACCGGAATCTAAATCGTTCGTGGGGAAACACGGATTACAGGACTCGGCGTTTCCGCGAATGGGTGTTGCGTCAGAGCCTTTGTGTGTTTATATCGTGACGATAGTAACGTCAGAGCCTTCGTGTGTGTAAATCGTGAGGATAGTAAGACTGTTTCTTTTCTCTGCCGAAAGACGCGCTCGCCTGTTGGTTGCGCCACCGGCGCCTGCTCTCACACACGAGCGTTGACCCATCGAGAGTGAAAGCGTTGTAATTGTCATTGTTCTGTCGGTGGTACCTAGGTAAGGCAGGGACCAGTGACTGTCGGCAGTGCGTGGTTGACACCACCCGCTTATTCCGTGACAAACACTTAGCGCATAGAACTCCGGATTGTATCATGCTTGCTGGCTAGAAGTTCAGGTTTATTTCGATGCACAATTTTGTCTTCAATTGGTGGAAAAAGACGGATCCAAACACATATCGAGCTGTTGGTCGTATTGCGACGAGCACTGACCTTCGATTTCCTTCTCGAACAACGCCTGGTAGTCGCCGTACAGCTCTGTGTATCTTTGATTGAGTGAAGTTGAAGTTTCAGGTGGTGGCAAGGGGACACATTTTGAAACTTGAGGTGTTGCACAGAAGAACGGTAAATGTAAAAACTTAGCGGCTTATATAAATGATAAGTACTGAACCCAGCCGGTAGTGTATGGAGTGGCGCGAAACACAAGTTTTACGTCCGTACTTGTCATCAACTTTGAAGTTATTCTTGATGTGTTTATTCTGAATCAACTCACTCGAGCTTCATTTCTTCGACGCCGAGGTCGATCTTGTTTGCGTTTGTTTCAACGAAATCCTCGAAGACTTTTATAAAGCTCTCGCTCTCGTAAAAGAATGACGATACCTGCGAATGAGAGTCGAGGCAAGCGCGGACGAGTAGCTACGTTCTTCACGGTGAACATGCTACGCGCGACTACAGCGGCAGCCACTTCGTACATTCCAACGCCGGCGAACGACAGTCGTTAAAACGTTCAAACGAAGAAGCACATGTCAACCATAACACCGAACCAGCACCTTATGTGGATGCTTGTCTCGCTACAATAACAATGTTTTCGAATCGCTTTCTTCCTGCGGCCCGCATTTTGGCTTTTGTGCTTTCGTTCCGCGGATAATCGTTCGACGCGAAATGAAGCAGCCAACACACGCAGACCCGAATGGAGTGGCCCTGATTCTCTGAGAAAGGGCTGAGGATACACGTGAAAGGCCTGGGGGATGGCGCATCGGTATTCCGTCCACATACGGGACGAAGTGCTGCGTGCCCGTACTGCTCCGTGAGCCTATCGCCTCACCAAAGTTTCCGTCCTACTTTCTATTTCACAAGGTTCGGTTCGTTTGCCTCTTTGCAGCCAGCTCTATGCTACACGGCGAGCTCACCTTCACGATTTCCGCATACCATCCTCATGCTGGTGTATTTTTTTGTCTATGAAAGCGAGAAAAGCAGCACCCAACCAAGGAGTTGGTGTTGGTTCGTCATGATATATCACTGCGCTCCCCACAAGCACAACCATTCGGCAAACCAGTCTCCTCTCTCTTGCGCGGGATGCCCCGATTGCCCACGTGGGTGACCGAGTGAAATACCTCGACACTCAACCGCACGAGACTCACTTCGCAGATTTATCCCAGTCCCACACGAGTACATTCTGCCCAAAAAGCTCGAGGGATTTATGAACTTTGAGGAGCCGTACACCAGAGAACCGTATGGCAACTGGCTCAAGTCCCGGTTCCGCTGTGTGACAACCTCTCACAATCGTGTGGCCTCCCAACCTTGGAGCTGATTCCTGGGTGTGCACAGCAACATCGAACCGCCGATCCTGCTGTCCACCTACCTTCTTGACGAGATCTTCAAGCCCATCCTCTCTCTTGCTCTCCTCTGGTGTTTTTTCTTCCCATACCGACCCCCCCCACTCGTCAGGCTCTTTACCAGGCTTCATCTTGGTTTCATCATGGAGTTGGTGCCGCAAGTGGAGATCTGGCCACACAGCAGTAGCTTCAGGGCCCCAAGGACGCTGCTGCCTTTATCGTTTCCACGGAAGCACCGAACAGAACAGCATACACCTGCTACTTGGCACTTGGACTTCCTAAGAAGATGGCGCCCAGGTTTGCATAGCACGTGTACCACAGCTCTTGCGTGAGGTATTGAAGTATGGAAACGGGCCGCCCTCCCAACCTCTCTCCCTTTGTGTCTGTCTGCCTGTCTGCCTGTCTCGTGGAACTACTGTAGGTCCTTGTTGGAACGGGTTCACCTGGTGTGTCGTCGGGGGGAATTGGCCGTTTCGCCGCTTACGGCACAAAAAGGAAATTCCGCCGCATCTTCACCTCCAGCGCTCCGCAACGCGTGGTTCGGGTTCTGGCAACGGTATCTCTCCATCTCTCCTGCTGTGCTGGGTTTGGTTGGTGACGGCGTGAATAGCTCGTGTCGGCAGTCATCTAGGGCGGAAAGTTGCAAAGTGCTGGGCTGCCGTGAACCCGAGGCTGCAAGCAGCACCTACAGTTGGAACCAGCGCGACCGACCCCAAGGACACGCTCTGTTGAAACTGAGCTTGCCTGCGTAGGAGAGCGGAGAGGTGCGGGTGGGCGCTGGAAAGATGCGCAGGGAGCAGGGAGCGGCGGCAGGAGGGACTACGTCTCCTGATGATCCCACGAGAGCTTTCGCACCCGAAGAGAAGAGCAGGCGACCAAAGGGTGAGAGGAACTGTAGGTTGCACGCGAGACAGAACATGGGCGAATATTCTGCTGGAGACGTTGAGATCACAGGCGCGGCAGTCGGTAGTGCAGCAACCGGCGAAGCGCTTTGTTGGGTGTGGTCTTGAGCGCTTGTGTAGCCATTGAAGTAGTGTCTGCTGGGCGGGCAATGTCTGCTCGACAGAGATACCGCAATGCCTGCGTGGTTACTTCGGGAGGTTCTGCACCTTCGATGCAGGGTGTTATGTTTTGCCACACCGCGCGACGGACCGCTGAGGGTGTGCCGGCTCGTTGACGAACTCCGGCAACCCATCCTCCTAGTTCGTGGTTTCCATTTGCTTGGCAAAAGATACATACGACTGTCCAGGGTAGCAGAATACTGCCATAGCGCAACCTACATCGCAAAGATGCGGTAGTGGTATCGACTCTTGCCGCTACATGGTACCTACGTGACGCAAGACACCACCCGGACTCAACTCTCGGCGGGTTTCCGGGACCTTCGTCCTTCGTTCCCCGAAAGCGTCGGCTATCAACCCCTCTCGGGGAAATTCGGGTCAAGTTTGTCTTCATCTGTCAAGGGAGGGCGGCGCCCTTGTGCTGAGGTTGCCTGCATGGTGCATGTATTGCACAACCCCGGCATTGAGGAATGAATGTACACGACACACGACTTGCAGAGGAAAACATGCATTCGGCGCCTCGTTTCTTTCAGAGACGAAGGCCCTGGTATACTGGGCAGGCGGAAGTCCTTTGAACATGGTCGCTAGACGACCGGCAGTCGTGAACTACAAGAGGCGTGGGCCCGTTTTCGTATGCAGCGACCCCCCGCCACAAAGCGGTGCTACCTGACACGCGCAACGACGGCATTGGTGTGCATAGGTGCAGGGCACTGCTTGGTGGGTTCCGTAGCAATGTGTCGGGGGCTGTCGAAAGATCTTCTTTGCAAACGAAGACGACCAAAGATTAATACAGGTCTGGTGGTTTAGAATCCCCACGACAATCGTGTGGAAGACGAGACAGCGCCAGCGGAATGTCAATGTTCTCTCTTTCCCTTTCTTCTACGGACGAAACTGAGAACCCCCAGCCGTTTTCGCGTGTGGTAAAATGTCGACAACATAGTATGCTGCTCGTTTGTTTTGCCGGCAGGATTTCTTGGCGGCATTCATCTCTAACCCCCGACACGACACGACGGCTGTGGCAACGCGCCCCTTCCCTCTCGTGCGCCGCGCAGACACACCATTTCGCCAACAACGAGTGACGTCGTTCTTGCCCATCTTGCAGCCGCTGCTGGTGGTGGGGATATTCTTCGCGATAGGGGTGGCGTTCATCCCGCTCGGGAAGTGGTTCATCGAAGAGTCGGAAGAGGTGCGGTGCTTTCGCGCGATGCCATTCAGCGGGAGGGAGACGCCGCTGCCGCCTTGCAATGTCATCCTACCTCACTCCTCCCGCGCCTCCGGCTCTCTGCTGTAGCAGTACACGCCGGTGGCAAGTACGCACCCCATGCATCCGTGTCGGAAGACGCACCCCGAACAATGATGGCCTTCCACCAAGAGCTTTTTCGGATTTTGGGGGGGGTTGTCTCTGGCTGGGCAGGCGACCCTGCGAATTCATTCCCATCGGTGTGCAGTGGGAGGCTCGTTAAGATCGTAACCCGATGCTTTCGGTCCGGCTTGTGCAGAAGGGGAGAGTTCGTACGTGGGGCGCGAAAGTGCGTCCCTTTATTTTTTTGTCAAGCGTTCGACAACCGCGAGGAGCGATTCCCTGTCAGAGTGTTCAGGGCCAAGGCACTGCCATGTTGTCCGGCGCCTTAGGGCGCTGTGCTTGAGGAGCTGCGTCGCAGTCACCGTGCAATTTGCCGCCTCCCACTACTTTATCGCCTAGCAACTCCAATAACGGCCGAGAGAGCGATATATATATACAATTAGGGAGAGAGTGAGAGAGAGAGAGAAAGAGAGGGAGGGGGAGGGAGTGGGTTGCTGTACTTCGCGGTTACAGTGATGCCCGCCAACCGCAGCCCTGCCCGCAGTTGCACGTCCGAGCAACGCCTGCCGGAGCGCACGGCAACACTGGTTGGTCTCAGATCGCCCGCAAAACAAGAAATTGAGCAGAAGTGTTGTTGCGCGGTTGCTCTCGGCCTCCGAGTGTTTTTTTTTACAAACCGATCGCAGGAATATATTAGTGTGTGGTGAGTCGCGCGAGACACGGCCCCAAGCGTCACATAACACAACTGAAGCTGGTTCGCTTTTCTTTTGCGCGCCTAAAATCAAAACAGGTGGTGGAGTTCAAGCGGAGGTATGACGGCGACAGCGTGGACGTGGAGGGATGCAAGATCACGGAGCGCAACCAGGGCACCACGTGCTCGGTCCAGATCGAAGTCGATGAGTGAGTCTCGTGGCAGGACCACCCGCTGGCAACAACCTCCGCCGGGCGTTGGTGCCGTGTCGTTTTTGTGCTTTCAGCTTTCTCGCCCGAGCCATCAGGGCCTGCGTGCGTGCCGCGTCAGGTGGTCGCCCCCCTTCATGCCAACCCCGGCTTCACGGCTTTGAGTTGAGATGACGTTGCTGTTGCTACGGCGCAGAACGAGCCACGAGTTGAAAAGTGCTTATTTAGCTAGCCCAACCCTCGCTCACTTTTCGTGATCAGCGGGAGAAGCAGTAGAGAATTGTTGGTGTCCGTGTGTGTAGGGTACACGGAGATGAGCCAGCCTCCCTGCCATTCCTCTCACTTCGCCGCGTAGTCTCCGTTTCTCTCTCAACCCCCCCATCCCCCCTCACGTTCCACCGTGAACCAAAACGCCAACTCCTCGCATCCTACCGCCTTGACTCATTTGGTCGGACAGGTTCATGAAGCCACCGATCTACGTGTACTACGAGCTGAATAACTACTTCCAGAACCACCGCAGATACGTCAAGTCTCGGAGCTCGCTACAGCTTCTGGGCGAGGTACGTTACCCTAGATGCACAATCCAAAGCGACACAAGGCATCGCTTTTGACGCCCGCCGAAAAAGAACATTCTCACCGTCGGCGACGCTCGAAATGAATATTCCTCGCCGGAAAACCACCGCAACCTGCAGCGGTATTCCGTCCCTGGAAAAAAACGCGCGGCATCGTGTACGGCACGGCACGTCCATCCTCACGTGCCACGCCCGAATTAATCCGCGCCTGATTGTCACATATCTCCCGGGTTTGGTTGCGTGTCGCGCCCTGTCACGGACACGGACACGGACACGGGCGCCAGGCGGTGGAACCGGACGAAAACTGCGAGCCTTTGGAGCGGACGACCGTTGACGGAGAGATACTGGACCTGAACCCGTGCGGGTTGATCGCGAACAGCATGTTTAACGGTGAGGCAGACCACGGGGAGAGCGAGTGGGGTCCTCGGGGGCGGAGAGATTTATGATAATAGTTTTTTTTTTTTTAAGTGGGGCCCGATAGGGGTACGCTTTTTGTTTTGTTTTGCAAAAAAACAGCTGTTTAGAGGGATCGTGGGTGGAGTCTGTGCGCACGAGAACAAGAATAATTTTCATGCCGAGGGGCGTGAAAATTTAGCCATGGCTGTCTGTCTTGTGTCCGGTGTCCGTCTGCGCGCCCTAAATACCCAGCAGACTCGAGAGCCCATTTCACCATCTCGGCACCAAATTGCAAACTAAAACTTGCGCACAACAAGTGACATTTTGCCCGAGCTGTCCCAACCGCTACCTTCGCAATCCGTGCTCGGTGTCTCGAGATAGCACACCGTTTGTGCAAATATATATGTCACATGGACGCGTCCCCGGGAGGCGTCGTCATTTTTGTTTTTCTCTGGGCAACAAACTACACGCACGCAAGAAGAAACCACGACGCACTGCCGCCGTGCTGCACACACTGCTGCTGCTACTGGCAAGACACGCACTACACAGAGACAGGGAACATGGACAAGGGGGGCGGGACACACACACATACTGCTGTTGGCGACGGCGGAGGAAGCGGGGAACGTTTGGTTGGTCTGGGGTTCATTCATCGCTGATGATGTTGTTGCTGTTGTCTCCGTTGTTTGTTGTTGTTGTTCAACGCTGCCGGCCTTTTTTTCGCCTTTTTTTCTCTGGAGAGAGAGGGAGTCCCACCAACCAGCGTGTGTTGCACACACCACACAGCGAGAGCGGGACGGGAGCAGGGTGTGCCCTATACTACTGCTGCTGCTAGCTTTCGGCGGAGGAAGCGAGAGGAGAGATATTGATTGGGTCTCTGTGGGTCCATCGGTTGGTTGTT